CCCCCCCCTCTTGTCCTCCCTTCCTCAGTCGCTCTATTTTTTTGTAAAGTAATTGCTTTCACCCCTGTTGGTGACCTGGGTAGATTTAATCACACCATCTCCAACCCCGGCCAACTGAATCCAATTGGTCAAATTAACAGCGGCTACACAGGAGAGGGGTTCACCTCTCACTCGCACCTGCTTTTTTAGCTGTCTCTTGTTTTCTGCTCTCAGTTTCACTCTCTGTGTTTGTGCCACACACGCATAAGCACATAAACATGCGCACACACGAGCAGCTCAGCTGTTGTCCTGTATGGCTCACTTGGCACAGYGTGGAGCTTACTAAGCTAAATTCATGGTTTGGGCTCCTGTTGAGGCCGAGTCTGGCAGAAACACTGAAACTATTCTAAACTGATCTCAGATATTTCAGGAAACGCAACGTCAAAGCTGCCGTTAAGGAATGCCTGATGTTTTGCCAAACGTTCCTTAAAATATACAATTTCAAATTTCAAATTTTAAAAAAAATGTGTTCCCTATTAAATTAATTATCAATATTTTCTCAAAGTCAATGCAAATTTGCTTTGAGATGACAAATGAAGCAAGTAAAACTACTAAGTTGCAATGTGAAGAAGAGTCTTCCTCTAAGCTGTCTGTTACACGTCACATCAATCCAAACAACAAATCCATCAATCATTGGTTATAAGTTACGCAGCCCCCAAGAGGACATGGGGGAAATTTTTTTTCTCTTGCATTCACACGCAAAAGTTTAATTTTTTGTAGAAACTGCATTAAAATCAGACTTTTATTTTGAAATATCAAGTTACTGAAACCACAACATACAGTATGTGGCTGTGATTTGTTCATTCCGAAGCTGAATTAAAGTAGTAGGCTAACTCCCRTTCAATGGTGAGCATGTGAATTTGTTTATAAACTGGATGGTGCAACAGAAATAAACAGCTTTTGCGAAAGCAAAAGGAAAAAAAAATCCCCTTACGTCCCGCTGCGAGTTTCATAGTAAGTCACAAGTTGTGGGACTGAAAAGAGTTGATGCATATTAGCGTTACTATAAAAATAAAGGGAATATAAAAATCCCGGAGTAGCAGCAGCACATGTTTCTGTACCGAAAGCCTTTGTTTCATCAGCGGGGGTTTTCAGGATGGAGTGAACAAAGTTTAACTCACCAAC